GAGGCATAAGGGAAGAGAGGAGAAGAAGAACTCTGAAAGAAGGAAGAAAAGAAAGATTAAGAATCCGAAAAATATAGTTTATGTTATCTGAATCGCTATTCGTCGCTCTAAAATTTAAATTTTATAGCCCTAACACATACTTAATTGGCACATTTATCCCCAGCCCTAATTTCTAGCTGAACATTAAACAAACACAATCCCTAATTTCTAACTTACATTGCCGCCGCCACCGCCCACCACCCCGATTCTGTTGACATTCTCTACAGGAGGAGGTTTCTCCTCCTGTCGCTGCTGCTCCTTGTACTGCCGCCGCCCCATTGCTCCTGCACTACGAAAAAAATGTCCTATGCCAAGGGTTCTTTAGCAAGGGTTTCAAATCCCTTGCTAATTTGTTTGTAATTTATTGTAGCCACGGTTTGTTTCAAGGGTATGTGAACCCTTGCTATAAGATTTAACTAAATCACACATTTATTCCTTTTCTCCCTCTGCAAACTAAAAATCCCTATTTTTCCTTGTATGATTTTCTTGTTTTCTTTTCGGCTCCTGTTTGATGATTTCGCTGCTCGCTCGCGAGAGGTCAGAAGAGAAATACCTAATTCTACAGAGCAAGAGAGAGGTCGAAGAGAAATCTCCCTGATTCCGTCGGAGCGAGAGATTGCAGAATCCGACAGAGCGAGAGAGGTCGAAGAATCACTAGACAAGTTTCCTAGATCTCCTTCTTTTCTTTTCATCGATTGCTTATTTTGTCGGAGTTTTTGTGATTCCGCTGGCGTGTGAGAGAGGCCGGAAGAGAGCTCCGGCTGAAGTCAATTGCGGTCTCCTTCACTCACTCCGACTCGATTCTCCGATCCTCCAGCGTAAAGGTCTGATTCCTTGTCTCCCTCACTCTCACTCCATCGCTCTCCCTCCATCGCGTTGTCTATCTTTTCTTTTTCGGGGAAGGGGCGGGCTCTTTTTTTAGTGTAGGAATTAGGTTATAGTTCCGTCGGCGACTCGAGTCTCCAATTCACCTCATGCTTTTGTTCCTTGGTCGCCGTCGTCGTTTGATTTTCACCGGATTCATTGTTTAGGCAGTCTCGGTTCATCCTTTTTCTGCGTGTTCGGTTGATTAATTAACGCTAGCTGTTCTCTTGCTGAACAAATTAAGGGACCAGCAGGCTATCGATTACCCTAACTTTAAGTTAGTGCTCGTCCGCAATGGCGGTACAGTTTCGTCGGTTGTATCACATACATCGCCTTTTCATATAATCCTGATCTCGTTTCTTTCTTCTTCGATTTTGTCTTACCTTTGTTCGTGGGTTAACTAGCTTGTTTCAATTCCGTTGTGCTATGGTTTAACTATTGTTGTGGTTGTGGATTTCCTTACAGTTTTGGTGTGCTATATTCTTGCTTAGATATTTGATACTTACATTGAATTTGGTTGTTTTAACTTGCCTAGATTTCTATCATTCTGCAGCAACGATTAGTGTGGCGGACTGGCAATTCATCCACTTGATTTCTTCACTAACTGTGGAAAATTCCGGTTCTATTGCTGGGACACTACTGGCCAAGAGAAACTCAGTGGCTTCAAAGATGGATACTAGTAAGTCTTATCGGTTATTATTTTCTTCATGCTTCAACTGCCTCTGTCTGTCACGTAGCCATGTGACTCATGTCCTTATCCAAGTTCGATGAGTTTTCTTTAGTGGATTGGTATCCCATTAAGGGTGTATGTTTGATGAGTTAAACTGACATTATCTTGTTCTTGGTTCCAAATATTTTTGCTAGTGTTTACGATTGTGTCCCAGAATGTTAGAGTAATAGTTCCTCGTCGACTCGATTCTCCGATTCTTTCATGAAATTATATGATGATCTGTAAACTGAAATAAAAAATTATGGGTATGGATGATATGAGTGAAGGTATATCAAGTTTTCTTATGCTTTCTTATGGCATTGGCTAGTGCATTGAATTTGTCTTCCTGCTGCTATTTTCATTATTGCAGATCGTTTCAAGTTCAAGGAATTTAAGAAATTTGAGAATCGTGACTGAATTCGAAGTGCAAGAATGTTTTCAACAAGGACAACCATCCTTTCAACATGAGGAAGGGTCTGAAGACAGTATAGGTAAATTGTCAGTTTTGCCAACAACGGTCCATTGGTCTCAATTGATAATTCGAGTATCTGTCCCCAGCCAAGGGAGTAATGGCTGACATTTTTCTGTTTCACAGCCGAGGGAGAAGCTTGTTTTGTGATAGCATGTGAACTTACTTCCACATATTACTAACTTATGCCAAATGCACTCCAATCAAACAGAATAACAAAGACAAATAAAACACCCTGTAGCCGGTAGGACTGCATTATTTTATATGAGCACTTTTAAATACCACTCTTATGTTTATTTCTTTTATCAGGTGTCTTATGGGTCTAATTTAAGCAGTCACGGCCCAACCTTTGGCATGGACCTATCTGATTTCCACGAAGATGGGCAGCCAGTGGTTCTTGAGAAGGCAAAAAGTACTTTGTTCAAGATCCCTCACAAAAGTGGGTTGCTCTTTTGTATCTTTGGCGATGCTTGTTTATGATTATACAACATACTCATTATCTTCCATTTCATGTGGGCAGCATATGTTGCTGGGACCATTTTGGTTTTGATGGAAGAATTAGGTGTGCGATTTGAAGATAGCATCAGCATGCTGGCTCACCAACTATTTATGGCTTTCTGTTCTGAATCATGAAAGAGTTTTTTACGTATCCACCTTCTCCTGTTTTGACAGCAAATCTGCCCCAGAGATTTAAAACGGGAAAGCAAGCTTCTTGATGGAAGCCCTGCACCTCGCTTGAAGATTTGTGATTTTGGATATTCTAAGGTTTCATATTCTTGATCTTCACCCCTTGTCTTACTTGAGCAGTAACAAGATCTTCAAATTTTTATTGGTGCATTTGTTATGTGATTATTGATTCCACGGTTTGGTGGTACATAATATGCAGTCATCTTTGCTGCACTCAAGGCCCAAATCGACGGTGGGAACTCCAGCATACATATCGCCAGAGGTTCTAGTTAATCATATGCAGTCATCTTTGCTGCACTCAGGTAAGGTAATGTCTCATCGGTCTTTTTTCTAGTTAATTATTTCTTAGTTTTTAATAGTATTTAGAGAATTAGATTATAGGAGAAATTTAACATCCGGACAAAATTGAGTTAATTATACTAGCTAGGTGGCATATCTACCCCTAGGTTAAGCGATAATCATGTTCTTTTTCATAGACTACTACTGTACAGTAATAAAAAATTAATATAAACTACTGTATTTGTTTAGTTAGCGTACCCTAAATTCCATTCTTTATAAGCAGCAGCTACATAAGCCCGCAGTGAAAGGTTGCTCTGTTTCTCGATGTTCTTGTATTGTTATTTGTGTTATTGAATTAGTGTTGGTTTGTATGACTAAGTAATTTTTTAATATGTAAATCTTGACATTCTTTTCTATTATGAACAGGGTGCCACTAGTGATCAAGCTCCGTTTTTGTGTTCTCCAGCTTCTTGATAAGATGGGTCATGAATTTCTTATATGAAGGATTCAGATCATTGATCTACTCATGTAGCTTTGAATAGGGTTCTTTTGAGTACTTGGAATATCACGAATGCGCTATTATTATTTCGGTTATGTTTGAATGTTTATAGTGATTAGTATTTAGCCATGTAAACACCATTTTGGATGATGCTTTGTATCATGTTATGATTTAGGATATGGAAGGTATATGTTAGGAATTTTATTAACAAACATGGTTCTGCATTTGTATATAGTGACCAGAGTATTGGCAACCAAGCTATAACCACTAATCCTATGTTATTGTTTAGTAACAAAACTTTTTAGTGACGATTTGGGTTTCGACACAAATATTCTCATGCTTTAGTCACAAATTCTGCAAGGGTTTTGACCTTTGCAAGCAACATCTCATAGGTGATAGCTGTTATAATACAGTGTAGCAAGGGTTTTAACCCTTGCTAATTTAAGCAACAAATTTGGCAAGGGTTCCAACCCATGTTACTAAAGCCTTTTACATAATTTTACACATATAAGTAGCAAGGGTTTATACCCTTGCTAGCCGTAGGAAGGAATTTTTTAACGGTTTGAAACCCTTGCTACTAGAATCTATGGCTTAAAGTTTACAGACGTGTAGCAAGGGGTTAAACCCTTGCTATAACCGTTGCAGGGGACATGCACCAAGGGTCGCCTATAACCCTTGCTATATGTAGCAGGGGCGGCTTTGCCAAGGGTCCATCCAAGGGTTGCTTAAACCCTTGCTACGTTCTATAGCAAGGGTTAAAAAACCCTTGCTACATATAAAAATAACCCTTGCTATAGGTCCTCTTTTTTGTAGTGCTGGTGCTTTTGCTCGCGAGTAGGAAGATAGAAGCATGAAGGGTATAGCAAGGGTTAAAACCCTTGCTACATATAAAAATAACCCTTGCTATAGGTCCTCTTTTTTGTAGTGCTGGTGCTTTTGCTCGCGAGTAGGAAGATAGAAGCATGAAGGAAGAAGAAGAGTCGGCACAATTTAGAGACCCTTCCCATTGCTTTTGTTGCTTTTGACTCTAATGCCCATTGCTTCTTTTGTTGTTGTGAAAGTGAGATGGATCAATGATATAATTAGTACAATTTAGAGACTAGTTTCACATGGTGATGACAACGAGGATTGGGCATGTGGTGAGTGTCCACTCGGCAACGAGTGGATATATGTATTTGTTTTACGGTTTAAGTGTTTGAAAGACACAAAAATAAACTAAGGGCATTAGAGTAAATTCAACATAATTAGGGTGATGGATAATGATTTTTAGGGCGATGAATAACAATCCACGTATGTTATTCGGTAATCCCAATAGGGCACCAGGATGAAACCTTTATAGCTTTTTATGAAATATTCAAAATAGTCCCTCTACTTATGCTCCTTTTCGTACGTTGGTTCATTAGAAATCTCAATCCCTTTAAAACATATTTGTCCTAAAGTCTGAAAACCATTAAGACCAACATAAAAAACAATGAATTGACTAAAACAAAAGAACATCTATAAAAATTAAGAACAAGGCATATGCTTCAACCCAATAACGAGTCTCTACAAAACAAAAATAGAATATAGGTACTTTTTTAATCGAAATTGACGACCCAAAAGGATGCATTATTAGTCATGAATCATGACCACCGAAAACTTATTTCTTATGTTTATTATAATTGTTTCCGATGCTCTTTTATAGGAGCCAAACCCCCCACCCACCCAAACAAACAACAAGATGAGATTATGCCTTTTAAGGCTCAACCACACCACAGCCATCAGCTTTCATAGGCGGAGGCGGCACGGCCTTCAACACGGCACTCCGCTCGAAGAAATTCGTCGGTCGGAGCTCAAACCCGCCGGACAAAGTCGGCATCATCGGGAAATCCTCCTGACAAGGCACGTGGTGGAACCCAATCACGTGCCACATCACAATGTCCTCGTTCTCAATCTTCCTATTCCTCCTCGTCCAAACCGCCAACCCATCCTCCCCTTGACTCTGGTCAACGTACTTCCCGCCGGCGTACCGCTCCGTCTTGTTATACGGCGTCACCCAAATGTTGTAGTTCGTGAACGACCCCCGAATCTGCGGGCCGTCGTCGGGCGCCAGGAGCGGGTGGATCACCGGTCCGGGTATCAATCGGTACCCGTGCGGGTTACCCGGTTTGGTCTTCTTGTTAGGGTTTTCGATGACCAGTTCGGTCGGACCGACACCGAGCCGAATTTTGGCCTCCGACTCGGTCCGGGCCGTTTCGGTCACCACGGTCCAGTAGCTCTTCCTCGGGGTACGGTGGTGGCCCGTGTTGGTATTTCTTCGCGGGACGAGGTTTTTCTTGACGAACGAATTGGTGGCGCCGTCAACGTCGATGTCGAGGTAGTAGGTCAGGAAGTGGTCGTGGTACAGTCCGATGGTGTGTTCCGCAAGGTACGTGCCGTGTGCTTCCTCGCTCGCGGCGGCCTGGTCCGCGTGAGTGTAGTTGGCCGCTTTTACCTCCAGGATCCCGGTCAGGCCGACCTGGGTTTTGATCGAACCGCTCGGCTTGAACTCCCAATCGATGACGTGGTCGTAGTTCCCGACTGTGACGATCATCCGCACCACCAGACTCACCTCCGGCCTAGATTCAGCTATCTGCAGATTTCATCGTCTCAGTAAGATTCCTGTTAGAATGAATTGAGTAATCGAAAATTCAACAAAGTAAAAAAAACGTACAGATTTATACTATGACGGAGCCAGAAGTTTAAAACTTGTGTCCTATATATGATATTAAAAACTTTCTTTATATTCAAGGAATTCATTAACAAAATAAGGAAAAAAATCATTTATTAATACGAGTTTCTTTGTAAACAACCATAACATGTTTTTTTTTATATTCGGTAAGAATGGAAAAAAAAAATATTCAGTCACCTATATTCTAAACTTTTTGTATTTCATAAACGTCTTAGTATTCGAATATTATATATACCTACATGTGGTTAATAATTTAAAATTTTTCAAATTTTAAGTGTATCCCATGACCAGTGACAGACCTAGTATTGTCGAAGATGGGTGTCGTCGATAAACAAATAATTAAATAAAATTACTAGAAATTAATTTATAAGTTCACAATATCTTATGTACAACGAACCACGACGAATGTTCATATTCTGAAATGTTTTAAAAATATTTTCATTTCTTATTTTGTAAATCAAACATTTTTCAATATACACAACCAAAACAATCATTAATAAATTGGTTATCAGAACGGTGTCGAAAATTTCGCATTAAATTTTTTTTACCAAAAACATATAGACTTTTCACAAATATTTTGAGAGGGTGTCAGACCTTGCCAACAAGTAGGTTCGCCCCTGTCCGTGACAGAGGTCAGTACGATTGGTTCCGCCTAGAGGTGGCAATTCTCAATCCAATCCACCAATTCAATTCACCAACTCATTAAAAATATCCATCTAATCCAATCCATTTAAATCCAATCCATTTGATCCAAATCCAATTGGATTGCTGGATTCATGGATTGATCCATGGATCCAAATGACAAATTACGGTTCGGTAACTTTACTTTTTATATTTTTTGGTACCCAAAATTTAATTTTTTATTCGAAAAATATCATTGAAATTTTTTGTTTTGGTACCAAAAATTTTCATTGTGACATTTTAGTACCTAAACTTTTTACATTTTACATATTGGTCACTGGTTGAGGATGTCATTTGAATTCATGGATAATCCACCAATCCACTTGATCCAATCCATGAATCCACCAATCCATTGGATCTATGGATCAATCCATTTGCCACATCTACTTCCGCCGCTGGATTTGCAGCAATTCGAAACTCTTAGCTTTGGAGAATTTGATTTGATTCACATTCACACACATACTGACCGTGACATGAGGGATGGCAAGCTCGGTGTGGCGCCACATGACCTCGCCGGCGTGCCTCTCGAAGATACAAAAGACATTGGGGACGTGGACGGGAGTGCCGTCGGGGCCGGCGTAGAAGGCGTCCATGTAGACGGCGTGGGAGGGGCAGTCGCCGTTGGGAACCAGAGAAACGGCTGAGACGCCGAAGCCGAACTCGCCGCTGTCGAAGAAGGTCTTGTAGTAGTAGTCCTCCGTGGGGTCCTGGTAGGGGACGAAGAGCTCGGAGATGTGGCCTCTGTACATGACGCTGCGGAAGGCCTTCTGGTCCGGGTCGTAGATTCGGGCCATGGATATGACCAGACCCGGACGGGCGTCGAACGACACGTGGAATTCCCAGTTCATCCATCTGCATGCATGAAAGAAAGTTCGATGGTACGTATGTGGATTACAATCGTTTGTCGAGTTAGTTAGTACACAATACAACTGTCTGTCATCGCACTTTTCCGGTAGTTACAGACTTACGGCCTTACAGGCTAGGTTTCTTTTTTTTAATCTTTTTACAAGGTTCAGAGATACATGTTGCCACTTTCCGGGGATTTAATTATTTATAAAAAAACAAATATAATAATATTAGTTATCCATGTAATTGTCTAACGATCGAGCAATAATTTATCCAAGGGAATATTAAAAAATTTACCTGACGACATTGCCATCAATAGTGAAACCCGGAGCATTCTCCTGGACCAGCCTAGCACCATTGATACGAGGACCATGAGGCAGGGGTAATTTCGACAATCTGTACTCCGTCCCTTCAGCTCTGGGCATGGGAGCGACTTCCCTGTCTTTGTACTCCACGATCCTCATCTCATCCAAGTCTACCACAATGGTCAAACCTTCCACCGGCAGCAAATAAACACTCACCGTGTCCTTCTTCGAAAAGCACTGGATCTTCACCACCCTGATAAAAAAAAAAAACAAAAAAAATACAACTCTATTATATATATTACTACTCGTACTCGTAGCATGACATAATACTACTCGTATTGTACTCTAATACATACGTACCTCTTCCCGATGAACTGCTTCTCCTCGGCGAACCAGCCCACGGTGAACACGGAGCACACCACCTGGGACACGTCGATCCCTCTCTTCGCCGCTGACCGGAGGAACGGGCCGTAGGTCAGCGGGAGGTCGTTGGCCGCGGTCTGCTCTTCCAGCGTGAGCGAAGGGAACCCGGGCCCGCGGTGGACGTGCTTGCTGACGACCTTCCGTGCCTTTAGGTCCACCACCAGCTCGTGGGTCTGCTTGTGGACTCGGAGGATGGCCTGGGCCCGACGGGGGAGTGGCTCGGGCTCGGGCTTGGCGAGCCATGACAGGACGTCGTGTTTTTCCGGCTCGTCGAGGGCGACGTAGTGGAAGACTGGGCTGGAGCGGGGTGGATAGGATTTCTTGACGATGAGCTGGACCAATGAGAGCTCTTCCCGGGTTAGCGGGTCAAGTGGGTGGTGGGTTTTGGAGCTTGAGATTCGGGAGAAGATGGAGAAGAGGAGGACCAGGAGGAAGGGTTTGATGGTGGCCATGCTACAAATTAGGGTTTTGTGAAAGGGGGACCTCGTTACGTTGTGTGGTGATGGAGGGAAATGGAAGGGCTTCGAGTCCTTGTTATATAGGGTTTTGGTGAGAGTGTAGAACAAGAAAAGAAGAAGAAAAAAACAATGGGCACGTGAAAATATGGACCAGTTTCTTGCTGTCAGTGTGGTTTTATTTTGGGCGGATTGCATTGCATGCCCATAAAACATCATTCCCATCCCTATTTTTTAAAATTATGAACTCATATATATCCCGTGTGGAGCTTTCCCGTTCTCATCTCCGTTCCTGCAATTTTCATCCTAACGAAAATTTGACATTCAATGTAATTGAGTTGAAAACACATATAAATTCTTGGTGGGGGATGTGGAATATGGGATAAAATAATATGTAATTGGTGCATGTGGTATATTAGAATAGAATGCATGACAGAGATGAATATGTCGAAGGAACTAGGGCACCTAAAAACAACTCAACTGTTTTCTTTGTGATATTATTCAAATACTCATCAGGTGCCCAATCAATCAAGGTGGGAATTCCCCTACTTGACTAGATCGGAGAGGGTCGAATATCCACAGTTGTGCGTAGAATTGTCCTCCTATATATGTGGATTGCTTCATCCATCATTGTGAAATTGATACACTCTTGAAATAATTAGAGACCGATGCATGCTATTGTTATTGCTTTGAATGCCCAGCTACAATGGCGAAGTCGGATTTTGGAGTGATGGGTCTGGAATAAAAGAAGTTAGAACACTCCATCGGAATTTATCTTGGCTATTATATGAGAATGTTGATGGCCTACCATCCTACCACTTTTCAGTATTTGATTTTCATAAAATTTTCACTTATGTTACATCTCTACTTTTCAGTACCACTTCCCTGAAGAGTTTTCTTTTGGGTAATTATTGTATATAATGCGATGAGTGACCAAGTCTAGACTATGGTGCATGAGATTTTTAATGCTGTAGTTTTCTTTACCTTCTTTCTGTGTATTTTTTTTTTTTATCTTTGTTATAAACTAATCTTCTATTTCTTGATAAAATTCTCTATCAACTGTTTGATAGGGAGTATCCAATGTACACCCTGAATTTTGGGTGGATTCAATGTTTTAATTTGTAATTTTTTTTTTCAAACCTTACAAATAAATATTTACAAACATTCGATACATATAACATATTTGTAAATTGTCCGTTAACATGTACAATTTGTTTGTAACTACTAGAAATAGCAGTGGTGGTCCGTGCTGGCTCCAAATAAGGTGAGTAATCTTAGAGTGCTTAACATGAGTAATCATCATGGTACGCTTTCATAACATATGGTATGCTCTTATTTTAATACCAATAAATACTAGTCTGATATAAACTCGTAAAAAATGCTTCAATTATTTTTTCAAAAAATATATCAAAATGGATATTATTTTAAAGAGCACAATTTATCTGATTTTTCTGTGTAAAAAGAGACAAAATTAAAGCTTTTCAAAAGAACGAGGGTATACTAATGTGGTGGCTAATGGTTGAGTTATACATAATTACTGACTGATCCGATCATATATCCGTGCCATATACCCAAACTAGAGTTGAACGCTAGACTTGCCTTAAATATAGTTGTTATTATTTTAATTTTATGTTGTCTTGTTATGGGGAATGGATCATGTGAGTAACTTTATGGTGAGTAACCATGAGTAACCCGTCCACATCAGCATGACATCAGCATCTTCTCTCTCATGGAAAGCCTTTAATTTTTCCCTCTTTAATCTTTGACGGACGATTTCTCGCTCATTTTAAGTCGAAATTTAATTTTTTTTGCACAGTTAGATCAGATTAATTGTGCTCTTCAAAATGATATCCACTTTAATATATTTTTCGAACAAAAAAATATTGAGCCATTTTTTACCAGCCTATACCATATGGTATTGACTGGTATTGAAATAAAAGCATACCTATGTTTTGAAAAATGTACCATGGTGGTATGAACAAACCAATACTGTAGGATGGTTGAATACATGATAGTAGAAGTATATTAATTGTAATTTACGACTTTTAACATTGTATACCACACAATACCACCCCATACCAGGGTGGTATTGTATGGTATTGTGTGGTATTTTTTGGTCCTGTAATTTGTTCACCCAGAAATTTGTAGATCCAATAGATCATGATGAACTCGTCCCTTCTGTGCAAACGTTTTCAAAAACGAATTAAAAACGAAGAAGATACCATACAATACCACCTCGTACCAGGGTGGTATTGTATGGTATTGTGTAGTATTTTTTGGTCCTGTAATTTGTTCACCCAGAAATTTGTAGATCCAGTAGATCATGATGAACTCATCCCTGCTGTGCAAACGTTTTCAAAAACGAATTAAAAACGAAGAAGATACCATATGGTATGCAGTTGGTACCAAGAGGCCAGAATTTTTTTTTCCTAAAAAAATATTGACTATTGATCTCATTTTGTAGAGCACGGTGAACTCGTTCCATCTGTGCAAAAAAAATTAAAATCCGAGTTAAAACGAAAAAGATATGAGTCAATTAAGAAAGCTAGTGAAAATAAAAATAGCCTTTAATTCTCCATCTTTAGATCTGAATTTTCTAAATGAAGGGTCCAGATTTGGTTATTGATGGGTGCATAACCCATGGTTATGCACCCTATCTTGAGCCCTTGTTATGCGTGTTAAATTGATTGGGCATTTGTTGTCCTTAATTAATAAATGAAAACCTACATGTTTAACACTATAAGTCTATACACGACACTCTTGGTAGGAACGTGCGAACGGCAATGATCCGGGTCGGATATCTCCATGACTCTATGCACCTCATGGCTGGGATAATTTATTATGGGGCGCAGGTTGGGACATATCGACCTAATGGATATGTAATTTATATTGAAAATATTAAAATGTTTGTTATTTTATTAGAAGATAAAAAAGAAGGCATAATGTGATAAATGTTGTTAAACTATTGGAAAAATGAGATTTTTCACTTATTTGCAATTTTATTATAACTAAAATATGAGGTAATAATAGAAAAAATTTAATTTTTTTGACTAAGATTACATGTAATTTAGGCAAGAACGAGAAAATAAAATAGGTCGGGTCGATTAGAGTACCCATGTCCTCCCGCCCTGACGGGTCAAGTAGAAAATGTCATTCCTACTCTCGTTATGATTTGTTGAAATGAAAAATAAAATAAAATATGATGCGAGCATAAATAGATATAATTGGTGTTTATACTATTTAACTTCTCACATAATGCTGAATAGACTTTTTTTTTGGGTATTAGAAAAGTAAAGACTGTGAACAGTCCTAATTTACCTCTTATTTTGGTCACATGAGTACATTTTTTTTGCCAATAGATAACTTGCATTACCAAGAAAAGATAGAAAGTTTACAGCACAAAACTCCGTGATTGTTGATTTAAGTAAAAGCAGTAAGAAAGCAGAAAATGGTTCGGTTTTCTAAAGCAAAGGAAGAGTCACTCGGGAATGAGTCCCCCAAGCTCCTTAGTTAGGTTCCAGTTGTAATTACTTTTGGTTGCTTTACTGCTGATTATACTGCGGAAGATCCGACAGTAGCTTGGAATCTCTTAAGCTGACCAAGCCCTCTCAGTCCAACTACCCGGCAGACGACTAGTCTTCACCGGGATAGAAAGCTGAGGCTATGAACACAGAACTCCACTACTGGAATTAGATTCCAGTACAAAGCAGTGAATCGACTAACTCTCGTATAATCGATTCACTACTACCAATTGAAGAAGCTCTAACAACCTAATCAGATTCTATCTATCTCAGGTTGCAGCAGAAATCAATAAAAAGTGATCAGACTTCAATTGACTCATTCAAAACACTTCAATCGATTATAATCAAGCAATATCACAATCCAAACGTAATTACAATCAAGATTCCTAACACATGGAACTAGGGTTCTTCATACCCAAGTGAGAGAGAGTTCTACTCCATAGAGAGAGAAGGGAAACAGAATACAAAGCAGTCATACTCATAACAATGGGAAGAATGTGCTCTGGGATGTCAATCTTTACTCCTGAGGATGCAATCTGGGCTTCAATGATGAGAAATCCAGTCCAAATAGCTCCTAGGGTTTGTTCTTTGCACTTTCTCTCTCTAAAACTCTGTTTTTGCTCCAAAAAGTTGACTCTCTCTCCTTTGGCTCGAATCTGCCTCAAAAACCCAATTCAGGGCGAAATACGGGCTGAATTACGGTCGTAATTCTTCCATGCCCGTATTTTGCCCAAAACATGCGTTTTGGTTAAGTTGCAGCACATCCAAAGCTCCTCTCGGCAGTGAAAATACGGGCATGGGAGGGGAAAATACGATCGTAATTCTCCTGCCCGTATTTCTTCCTCTGCTCCGGGTTAATGCTTCGTTTCTCCCTCGTTCGGACTCCGAATCAGTCGCCGTTTGATCCCAAACGCTCGTAGTCTCGTCCTATTTCTTTTTATGACAAGATTATGTGATTATTTTTCCATAATATGAGGTAGAAGTCCATTCTTCCTCAGGTCATGCTCGTGTTTCTTCTCCCGAATTGCCAAATGATCTCCGATTGACTTGAAACTTGCGCCTATGCTTCAATTTACATGCTAGGACCTGAAATGTGACAAATAAACACAACCTAGCGTAAAATAGTCCAAGAAAGAAAATACTCAACCCAAAATGATCAAGAAACGAGGGTGCAAACATGTGCAAATACGACGTTATCAAATTTCCCCACACTTAATCGTTGGTTGTCCCCAAGCAAACCAAGTCAGATACAAGGTAAGCTCAAAACATCTTAATCATGCAACCCTTGGGGACATATCATATCGGCACAAAACACGTGAATCATACTGGGTTTTGATCATTAACACATGGACAACTTCAACAGCAACCCGGACAACCACCACAGAAGACATTCGAGTGCAGCAAAATCGTGTAAAGGAAGAGTTTCCCTTGTGTTCACCAACCAACATAGACTCGACTCAACCACTTAGCCAAGAC